GCTTTGCATAGAATTTGCATGTCAGACCTGCAGCGGTGGCAGCCGGTTTCTTACCTGCATCAAACTTGCGCCACAGTTTGGGATGCTATCTTAAAGGGATCCCCGATTATTTGTAACATTAGACTTTATTTGATAAACTTTTATTTTAACTGTAAAATAAAGACCGCAAAAATACTGTAGGCTGTTTAGTTTTTATAATTTTAAAACTAAATTTTAAAAATATATTACACTGACGGGGCCATTTTATTTACACGCAAAGCATTCTGTGTAAATGATGACGTGGATATGTCATCAGTGCGAGGCTGATAGCGAGCTATATCCACCCTGAAGGTTAATCTTGGATAATATCTGATGATCGACTCTTTTAAATGAAACCAGAGAGAGTTGACAGAGAGGAGAAGGTAGAAATGACTCAGTCTGTAACTGAAAATATGGATGGAGGACAACAGAGCTGCTTCATGGAAGAAGAACCTCAGCTTACCCTGTTAGCTTTAGCCCCGATGCTATCACCATATATATGTATTAGCTCAGTGCTACACATTCTCCTCTCATCACTGAGGTCCTCCATCCACATGACAGACAGGGGAACACAAAAATGACTCAGTCTGCAACTGAAAATATGGATGGAGGACCTCAGTTTAGCTTCTTTGTCGCACTAGCACCGAGCTAATACATATACAGCGTTGGCACTAGCGCAAAGGCTAACAGGCTAAGCTGAGGTTCTTCTTCCATGAAGCAGCTCTGTTGTCCTCCATCCATATTTTCAGTTMCAGGCTGAGTCATTTCTRCCTTCTCCTCTCTGTCAACGCTCTCTGGTTTCATTTAAAAGAGTCGATCATCAGATATTGTCCAAGATTAACCTTCAGGGYGGATATAGCTCGCTAGCAGCGAGGACCTATCCACGTCATCATTTACCCAGAATGCTTTGTGTGTAAATAAAATGGCACCGTCCGTGTTAAAATATATTTTTAAAATTTTACAAAACTAAACAGTCTACAGTATTTTTACAGTCTTTATTTTACAGTTAAAATAAATGTTTCTCAAATAAAGTCTAATGTTACAACTAATCGGGGATTCCTTTAAAACAATAACTGACCACTTCACCAAAAACGGATTAAACAAACACCGGCTTTGTCTGGCTGAGGGACAGGGAGGGTGTTGTTCCAGAGTTAAAACCCATTTTCTTTTGGAGTAAATAATCTCCTACCAGTATAACACCTAATCAAACTTGATACATTCCCAGACCTGACACACCTTTACCGTGAGACGTCTGAACGTGCAGCCAAGTCACGTCTAAAAATAATCCAATACTCTACCCTTAAGGACGTCAGGTGACAGTAATTCTGGTGAATAAATGGCTCCGATTGCCGTTAGCCTGACTTTAGGTGGAAGGAATTTCAGATGGATGAGTTATCACATTCGCAAGTCCTGCCTGCTCTGGACACTATCTCATGACTCGTGTTTTCTGGCTGCAGACGTGAGGTTGTTTTCGGGTTATTTCACAGGGTGAAAAACAGGCTGAGAAGGGCCAAGAGCTGTGCTTTCTTGCCGACAGGACCCCCGCCCCTTGTTGTTTATAAAATTCTGTAACTAAGCTTTTTTTTTCCCTCTTTCCCCCCTCTGTACTATTGCAGCTGCTGATCCATACCGATCCACATGGGTCTCTGTGTAAACACGCAGCAGCTCTAAGTGGAAACGGTTGGATAAGGGAGGATGCATTCGAAGACACTCTAGGATGGATTTCCAAACGAAATACACAGATGACATCATGGCAAAGTCAGCTCGCAGGAACATGAAGAGGCCTCGTAATGCAACACCATACATAAACAGTGGACAGCTGTATTTATAGGAGATTGTCTCATGGATCTATCTGCTTCCATAAATCCTATTATCTGATTTGTAGCCATTCTCCTGCCCAGCACCCAACAAGGGACGGTGGCTTTGGCTTATACAGTGTTTTTAAAGTACACAAATGCTGTGCAGTCATCACCATTGTTGTGACATTAGTCGACTTGGCTAAGATAAATACATCTTTGCTTGATTAGACATTACCTCATAACAGCCAAATGACGGTTTATAAATCAATGTTTTTTTTATAAATCAGGTTTAACCATATTATCAAACCTTCCTCCATATGAAGCTACTAAATATAATTTAAAGTTACTTTCAGCAAATTGAAGTTATAAAAAAGGAATGCAATGCATCTGCACAATGTTATGTGACCTTAAAGCTAAATTTTATAAGAAAAATCTGTGACGGGATGAACGGCTTCCCCGTGCGTTTGTTTACTTACGGAAGCAGCTGAAGTGACTGAGATTAGGCGGAAAGTTTACCTTACAGATCAAGCCGAAGTTCTGCAAAAAAGCCACAAATGTTTGAATGAAGAGCTCTGTATTTACAGCTCCACCACTGCCTGAGCCCCAATGTTTATTCTTGACAGCTGCCTTCTCTTTTCTTTTGCGTTGAGAAGATTCACTCTTATTTTTTACATCTATGTCTTCTTTGGGACAGGCCAGAGGTCATGAGGTCCATCAAGATTAAAAAAAAAAAACAACATACTAGTAAACCAAACTTGCAAGCTACGCTTTGCATTTAACATGAGCTTACCTAAGCAATTCATTTTGTTTTTTATTGATATTTGTTAGATTGTATGATTGGTAATAGCATATAAGCAATGTAGTTTAAATATTGGCAAATGTGTCAGTTTTACTTGTGAAAAATTAATGCTAAAACCTCTATAACTGGATTCTTACAGCTTAAGATAAGTTAAATTTAAGACATTTTAAGACTTTTTAATGGCACGAAATGAAATTTAAAACAAACTTAAAAAAAGTTTTTTTTCAAAGAGGAAAAATGTTTAATTTAACATGAAACAATTAGCTGCGAGAGACATTTGGTAAATTACTTTTAAAATATATATGTTACCAATGTTACCCTAATTAAGGCCTTATTTTTAGAGTTGTGAATTCAATGCTTTTTAAAGACTTTTTAAGGATCCGCGGGAACTCAATCAGGAATAATCACTAATATACTGACCTTCAATCAAACTGATTCACGTCTTCATATTTCTTTAAAAATTGACAAATCACTGTGAAATTGAACATGTTGACTATTGCGCTGAAAATAGGTAAATTCTCATTTCTAATGTCAAATTGTGATAGGTAACTACAGTCTCTGAAAGAAAACATCTTTTAGATTAGCCTATATTTTTATTAATAGTAGTATCATTGCTAGTAGAGCTGGGCGATATGATCTAAATTTTATATCACGGTATTTTCAACATTTTCACCAGTTTCACGGTATTTGACGGTATTTTTCTTTTCATCACAGCTCAGCTGATAATAAAATGTACAAACCCTGCTTATTGAGTTTTTTTCTTTTACCGTACCTCCGTCTGTGTCGCTGTTTCCCTCCTCTGTGTCTGTTCTTCTCTGACTGGTGGTTGGAGACAGTAGTCACGCATTTTGGTCCAGTCGTGAAGGAGGGGGGTTAAGAAAAATTATGATCGGGTTTATTGTTTTATGTTATTTATTAAAGCTTATCAGCACGACTCACCTTGCACACGAGTCAATTCCAACTCCACTACGAACTACTTCCCGCAGGCTTTTCACAATAAAACCACGTTAAGTCTCCATCAGCATAATGTCTCCATATTAACTAACCACGTTAAATCTAACTGTGCACGTCACCGAAGAGGTGTCTACTACATTCAGCGACAGTGAAAACGGGATGTTTTTTTTAAACGTCAGTCAATATAAGCAGCGGAATCGCCACCCGCGGCTGCAACTAGCTGCTCCGAACATTAGCATGCTAACGAACATAGCGGTGCAGCAAGGAAAAATGTCCCCCGGGAAACAACAGTTCTCTGGCGGCCGCGACGAAACGCTCTGCTATTTAAACCGGAATGTCCGGTATTCAAAACATTCATATCATAACAAAAATAAAAACCGGTATTCGGTACAAAACGGTATACCGCCCAGCACTAATTGCTAGTTAGTGGTAATTTTGTTTTTTGTGCATTTTCTATGCTGCTGTGACACCTGAGTTTCCCCTTGGCGGGACAATAACGACTATTTCTATTCAGTGCTGTGTATTGGCAAGAATTTGGCGATACGATACATACCATAACAGAGGAGTCACGATACGATATATCCCGATATATTGCGATACTGTAAGCAAGGCAGTATACTGTATTGTGATATATTGCAATTTTTTTGTCCAAAAATTCTATTAAATAAAAACCTCTTAATGAAAAAAAAAGAAAAGCTAATGTTTACTCACAATGCTAATGCTACCCTTACTCTCTGGCGCTCAAGAGGTAGAGGAGCCAAATGGCTGGCTCACTGCTGCCAACTAGTGGTCAGAGGCTGAACTGCAACATAAAAATGAACGGTTGGCAAGAAGGTTAACATTTTAAACCTTAATTAAAAATCGATACAGGGCTTTAGAATATCGATACAGTATCGGGAAATGAAATGTCGCGATATTTCAGTGTATCGATATTTTCTTACACCCCTATTTCTATTCTAATCTATTATGTGTTGCCTTACTTTATCCCTGTTGACCTCATCAATTTGTGATGATTTTACAAAACCACTACTTCGATGACTACTGCTGTCCTCATGTGAGCCAATCAAGCTTTCAAATGGTTTATCCGGCCCTTTGTTTACATTGAGTGTGGACCCACATTTCAGAATTACATTCGATTTAACTGGAAAACAACAGGAGTAAACTCGTTCAAACTGCACTTTTCAATATAGTTCAGATAACCTTTTTTATATATTGGCTTTCACACTTTCCAATGAGCACCTTTAAACCTACAGAACAGGTGTCCTTTAACAGACACGAGCTATCTAGATGAAAGTGAGCTGCACCTGCTGCACTTATCTGAGGCACAGAGAACAACAAACACAAGCAGCAGACAAACTGGGTTACACCTTTGTTGTTCCCCAACAGTCAAACTTTCTGAAGAAAAGCGGGCATGTTTGCTTTTTACTCACGTATCTCCTAAGCTTTTTCTCCGGCGGTGACTTCCTCAGCCAGCCTTGGCAGATGATTTCTCCACCGCTCATGTTTGCCTGCGTCCTCTGCCTGCTGCCGCTTCTCGCTGTGAAAACAAGTGCAGCTTGTCAGCGGGAGGACATGCCTGCTCCTCACAGGGCTGTCGGTGCTCGCCTCTCCCCGCTGCGGTCCGCGACCCCCATTTGGAAATCAGAAGTGGGGTGGGGGGGTCGGAGGTGCGTCGCCGGGCTCCAGAACACTTTGGACTGGGCTCTGAGGTTATTCCACGACCCGAGGACGGAGAGCCGCAGGGGAGGAGCGGGGTGAAACTACTCAACTGATGCGGGCTGAGGAAGTCTCTCTCCGGGTGTCTGCAGTTTGTTTTCCCACCGCTCACACCACGCCCACCGCGCGCGCGCGCACACACACAGAGGGATGGGCTGCTGCCATGAACGGGATGGCTGCAAAAATAAAAATACACAAAAAAAATATCAAAAGATAATAATAATAATAATAATAATAATAATAATAATAATAATAATAATAATAATAATAATAATAATAATAATACACGAAAAATGTATAAAACTTTCTAATATTTTTCTCCAAGCTTTCACTTGAAACTTTAAAAAACGTTTGTTTTAATTAAATTAATAAATGTATGCATTCAAAAAATTAACAGAGCAGAAAAATATTGCTTAAAATTAGGTTAAGCTTGTTTCAAAATAAAACATGTGAATCTAAATGATAAGTGCTATGGCAGAAATGTGAAAAAGCACCATCTTGTGGTAAACTCAGTTAAATATTACCAAAAACACATAAAACCACGTGGATGTCACATGTGGAAATCACGTTTTCACATGTGAAAACGTGTCAAATTAAAAGGTCTAGCATTCAGACTACTTAATGCTAAGAAATGATTCGAAGTTTTGTCAAATCTTTCACAGTCTCGTGAAATCTCGCGAGATGTTACAGCTGTCTGAAATGTTTTGGAGATGGTGCTCAACTACAACCACTCCAAACATCAGCTCAGTAGGCTATCTGTAAAATTGTTTGACTTAGTTATTTTTGTAGTAACTGTGGCATTCATGTTAAATTATGCTGAATCAAATAATAATAATAATAATAATAATAATAATAATAATAATAATATAAAAAATGAGTTGTTCTTTTTCTGGTAGTTATGAAAAAAAAATCAGTTCAGTGGTTCATGAAATATTTTACTACCAAACTGTATGAATTCTAAATGTTAATGGCAAAGTTTTAAGCAAAGATACAGCACAATGCATAGCATTCAAAATATATTTTAAAGACTATGCTCAGCTACCACAACAAATTTTAGCTCAATAAACTTAAAAGTTCTTATTGTCTTGGCTTTTTTAACATGTGAAAAACATGGTTACGTCATGCGGTTTTATGTAAGGAAAATGCTCTTTTGTAGGCAAAAGTGCATAATAAATTACAAAACTACTTTGCTTAAAATGGCTATGATAAAATTTTTATTTCAAATACAAAACATGAATTTTAAAACAGCCACAAACAGAAAAGAACTAAAACATGGAAAAATCTAAGTTTGTACAATTATTAAAGCAACAACATCCTCACGGATGTATTGATGAGGTGATAACTGTCTTTTATAAAAGGCAGGACTGGACAAATCTTGGGAAAGGAATCACATCTTTTATGTTGTCAACACCCAGAATGCACTGCAGATATCGGTCAAATCCCAGCCCGAATCCACCGTGAGGGACGGAGCCAAAACGCCTCAAGTCCAGATACCTGCATATTAGAAAAAGGAAAATAAAAAAGTTGGATTAAAACTTGGTTCTTCCTTTAAAAATACTGTTTTTTTTAATAATCTATTGTTTACCAGCTGTAGGTGTCTGCCAATCCAGCACTAAAAAATAAACAAAAAGGTAATTTGTCAAAAATCTGCATTCAAATTTCATCCATGTCATAGTTTTAGTGAATTATGGATGCGATATCCTGCTTTTGAGTGTAAATTCAAAAGCTATATTTGATCTTTTTTGCATGTAGTAGTAAAATTACTTTTAAATTTGCACAGATAAACATGGCATCTGGATACTGTTCCGTACACGACATGCTATACACTATTTGGATTTTGTAAAGACACATTAAAAGTCGTGCACTACAGGCTGTACAGTAAATATAAAAAAATGCATGTAGAAATGTGCTCTTTTTATTCCAAGCCATGATAAAAGACACACAGCCTGATGCAGTTTACTGAAACTGTAACATCAGTGTTCTGTTTCTGCGTTCTTACTCTTCCAGCCGAGCCCTCAGCAGATCCAGCCTCTCCTCTCTGAGCGAGCCCCCACAGAGCTCTCCGACACCCGGCACGAGAAGATCCACTGCAGCCACCTGCACGCAAACAGCAGCCTGGCATCAGCTCGCACAAGCAAATGGATTCTACGGTGCAGGAAATAATTGGGTACATGTTTGCATCGCTCAGCGTTTTTCAGCAGCGGAGCCGCGTCTTACCGTACGCTCCGAGTGCTCCTGGTTGTCTCTTGCGTAAAAAGGCTTCAGGTCATAAGGATAATCGGTGACAAAGACTGGAAGGTTGCCACAATGTTTCACCACATACTTCTCATGTTCTGTCTTAAGGTCACAACCCCACTACAAAATAAATAAAAATAAATAAATAAAAAACAGCAAAGTTTAGAGTGAAGAGAAACAATGTAAAGTAGATATTAGGTTTAATCTATTATAATAGAAATCAACTTACATCTGTAGGGAAGTCAAAATTCTCTGAGCTGCGCTTTAGGATGTCTATGGCCTCAGTGTAGGTAATCCTTAAAAGATAGTTGTACACATTCAAGACCCGATTTTTCATTGGATTTATTATTAAAATGTTTGCAACAACAAAAAAAAAGACTCACACAGGGATGCTCTTCTTTAACATAGCATCTACAGTGGCCTGAAAACATACGAATGCAACAGGAAATACAAGGGTTAATGGAGGTTTTAGGACGGTCTGGTGGCTGTTTATCGTACAGCACCAGGTTATGGAGCAGAGCTTTTTCCATCAAGTGTCCTTGAGGACTCACTCTGTGCCCTGGAGTCACACGCTGGTGAAACAAGTCCACGTCTTCCGCAGAGTGAGCCAACACATGCTCGGTGGCAGATCTGAACATGTCCTCTATAACCTAAACAACACACCGAGTTTAATGATTAAGACTTTTTCTGTGCAGCTGGGGACATTTTAAAATACACGTGGATTTTTTTATTTTTATTTCAGTGTATGATGGAGTGAGGAAGGAAGAAAATGTGACACTTTTCCTCTCATCACTACATTTAAAGTGCCTGTAACATGCCTATCCTTCAACAAAAAGTCAAAGAAAGCATCTTTATACTTAAGAAAATTGGCATAGCACGCGTGATTTTACCCATTTTGTCACATAACTGGCCTATTTTCTTTTGAATGTGGCTCAGCCAAAGTGAAACAGGAAGTGACATCAAAAAGGAACTCAATAAAATAAACTCGCTGGTCTTTGTTATTGAAACTTTTAACTTTTCTTTGTCTCTCTTTGATAGCAACTAAAAATAATCTAAAGAAACATCAGATTCTTCTCTACAGTCTGTGTTAGCTTTTGTAACAAGGCTCTGTTTACATGCTGACATTCCCCTTTGACATCACTTCCTGTTTCTTCACATGCAAATATCTCAACAACCGTTCAGCTCAGCAACGCAAAATTTGTTTTGCAATATGTTATCAATGGTACCTTTCCAAGAATGCATTCATGTTTATTACAAAAAATGTGATGTCATAGGTACTTTAAAGCTCTTGCAAGCTGCACCAGATTGACTCTGTTAATCAAAAACTGGCTGATTAATTTAGATCTTCCTAAATGATCAGAAATCAATAAGAGAGTTTAGTTTAATTACAGCGAATTCTTCATATAAACGAGGCTGAATATTGTGGCTCACTCAGCTTTATGTAAAGCAATTTTGTGATGGACCAAAATGACAAATAAAAAATTAACATTTTTTACTCACAATAAACATCTATTTTAAACTCACCAAATTTGTTTGGACACTAAAAATTAAGTGTAGCATTCTATTTTTATTATTTTTGGTAAAGTAAAAATAACAATGATGTTTTAGTCTAGGATGGGTGATTTAAATCAACAAACAGTGCCACAACGTAACGCCATGCCACTACAGTAGCCCAGAAGAGACAAACTTCAAGTGCTTATTTTAAAACAAGCAGTAGTGCAGATTTATTTTGTGCAAGTTTCCCAGATTTAATTTTTACTGCAAATAGTTTTATGTTAGTGTGGGTGCTGATTGGCTGCTGTATGATGTTTTAAATAAAAAAGCAAAACATCGTATTGGATAGGGGTGTAACAACACATCGATCTATATCAATATATCGATTAAATGGTTAAAGATTCATTTTCTAGTTGCGTTCTATAGATAAGTTCTTCTTGTCAGTTGTTTTGTTCAGTTTTGATTTAACATGTATGTTCTGGTCTCTGTAGTTTTTATTAAAATAATAAATAAAAATGATACCATAAGTAAGATTACATAGGTACGGAGCCCGCGAGGGGACACGGGGGGATTTTATTTCCTTTTACGTTCCCACGCAATACCTTCGCATTCCCTCGCAATACTTTTGCGTTCCCACGCAATATTGTTTTGCATTCCCACGTAATATTGTTTTGCATTCCCTCGCAATACTTTTGCGTTCCCACGCAATATTGTTTTGCGTTCCCACGCAAAAGATTGTTTTGTATATGAACTGAATTAAATCAGACTTTTATTTTGAAACATCCAGTTACCAACACAGGATGTGTCACCTCAAGTTCGTTAAATTGAAATTGATGTTGCGTGGCTGTACTGTGTTAAAATATCGGCATATGACATACTTCCATGCGTGGCTGTGTGACATATTCATTCTGAAGCTGAATTAAAGCAGTAGGCTAATTCGCTAATGGTGAACATGTGAGTTTGTTAATAAAGCAGCAGGCACAACAGTGATAAAATACTTTTGCGAGGGAACGCAAAAGTATTGCGAGGGAACGCAAAAGAAAAAAAATCTCCCATGTCCCCTCGCGGGCTCCGTACATAGGCAGATGTTCTGTTTATAAAGAAAACCATCACTTCCTTGTCATCACTCTTCTTCAGTGATAGAGCTTGGTGAGGTTTCTAACTGTTTAACACTGCCACCAACTGTTCAGGAGGATTATTACACCCCTAAATGTTGTTTTACTGTGGAAGGAGGGCATACAGCAGGGTTGCCTGCAAAAGCAGTAAAGAACAAAAGCATGAAGATACGGCGCACCTTAATGAGATCCTCCAAGGACTGAGTGAAGGAGATTTCTGCCTCCACCATGAAGAACTCAGCCAGGTGGCGTCTGGTTTGAGAGTTATCTGCTCGAAAACTTTGCCCAAATGTGTAGACCCTAGAAAATGCCCTGTGGGGCAAATGTGTGACACAAATTAGCTTTAATCAAACTTCAAATTGAGCAGATGATCGTTCAAAGATGAATAATTTTATGCTTTGGTTCATCTCACCCGGACACCACCTCCAAATGAAGCTGTCCTGATACGGTCAGGAAGGTCGGTACAGAGAAAAAGTTCCCATCATCCACATCCTGTGGGCCTGAAGACTGGGGGAAAATGTATTTTATTATTTAAACTCAAACGATCCACAGACTGGTTTTACAGCGCGATGATTTGTAATTCTCATTCACCTGAACGCTAAAAATCTCTCCCGCCCCTTCACAATCATTGGAGGTAATGATCGGTGTGTGGATCTGAACAAAGCCGTTGTTCTAAAGAATAAATAAATAAACAAATAAATAAACAAAAATTTGAAAATAGAAGTCCTGCGCTGATTTTCCTTACCTTGAAATATGAATGAATTGCTGCCGTGGCCTCACTGCGTACCCTCAGCAGAGAGCCGAAGACATTTGTTCGACACCGCAGGTGAGGAAACTGGCGAATGTACTCAAGACTGTGTCTCTCTTTAATCTTAAAAGGAAAATCCTGGAAGGCAAAAAAAAAAAAAAAACAGCAATATTAATTGACGTTCTCCAACTGTACATGTTAAAACATTTGTGAGGAGTATTTTGTTCTTACAATAGGGTTACACGTTCCAACTACACGAATCTGGTCTGCTTCCAGTTCAAATGGCTGCTTCTGATGTGTACTTTTCTTAAGAACACCAGAGACTTCAACAGCACTGCCAAACGTAAGCAACCTTAAATTGAGAGGAAAAAAAATAATAATCTAAGGTTTGTTTGTAGCTTTTCTTCCAGAATCGGCATGAGAAATTACTGGTGTCACGAAATAAAGTGGGACTGCTTACGGATCGTCCAGCTCAGCTCTACCAACAACCTGCAGTGACTGCAATGAGCTCCCATCGTTTACATGGAGAAAAAGATTCTTCTTCTGAGGTCTAACGGAGCGAACCCACCCCTGCAGCGTAAACAAATCAAAGTGCATGAAGTTGTTGCTTCTGGTAATACGAAAAATGTTTCCATAACCGTAGTGTTGATAATAAAAAAGCTTGATATTTTGCAAAAACAAATGTCTATAAACTGTGTTATGCTTTTATATGCATGTGTTTGACAGTAAGATGTAAAGCTGCAAAATTATTTTCTCCTCTTAAAGGGATCCCCGATGAGTTGTAACATTAGACTTTATATGATAAACATGTACTTTAACTGTAAAATAAAGACTGTAAAAATACTGTAGGATGTTCAGTTTTTATCATTTTTAAACTAAAAGTTTAAAATATATTACATGGACGGGGCCATTTTATTTACACGCAAAGCATTCTGGGAAATTGATGACATCGACTAGGTCATCGGCACGAGGCTGCTAGCGAGCTATATCCACCCTGAAGGTTAATCTTGGACAATATCTGATGATCGTCTCTTTTAAATGAAACCAGAGAGCGTTGACAGAGAGGAGAAGGTAGAAATGACTCAGCTTGTAACTGAAAATATGGATGGAGGACAACAGAGCTGCTTCATGGAAGAAGAACCTCAGCTTAGCCTGTTAGCTTTAGCGTTAGCCCCGATGCTATCACCATATATATATGTATTAGCTCAGTGCTACACATTCTCTTCTCGTCACTGAGCTCCTCCATCCACATGACAGAGAGGGGAACGCAAAAATGACTCAGCCTGCAACTGAAAATATGGATGGAGGACCTCAGTTTAGCTTGTTTGTCGCGCTAGCACCGAGCTAATACATGCAAGGTAATATAGGCTGTGTCCAAAACGGCAGGCCGGGTCCTCCGAAGGCCGAATTTGTCGGCCGCATACGTCACAGCGCCACGACGAAGGGCGTCCAAAACCGAAGACTCCTCCGATGCGTCCGACAAATACGTCCTTCCTTTGGCCCGAATCGAAGGACAGGTCTGATGGATCCTTCCCAGCACAGCATATCCCATAATGCATTGCAGCCCGACCGGAGATTTTTTTTATGCTAGTAATGGCGGACGAAGCGAGAGAAAAGAATACATTTTAAATAAAAATATGGTGATATAAAAATTAAAAAAAAATAGCGGTTGTAATTMTAATACTTTTATCATTTGTATGGACATGTTTTTAAATATTATTTTTTCGTCATAAAAAACGCGAAATAAACATGAACCTACAGTGGGTCAATTAATTCTTCAAATGTTACCTTTAACTCAATTTTATAGTTTTGTGATATTAATAATGCTAATGTATTGATATTTTTCTAATTTGGATATGTTTGCTTGTTTAGCGTCGTCACAGTTGCTAGGTGACATGACGTACGCCGTGGTAAGGAGGAGAGGCTAGACCGTCCAAATTCACAGCCTCTTTTTTTCCAGTCTTCCCGGTCTACCAAGGACCCGGCCCGCCGCGACCGGGGAGTCTGGGTCCTCCAGAGGACCCGGCCTGTCGTTTTGGACACAGCCATAGTGTGAGGGCTAGAGCGAAGGCTAACAGGCTAAACTGAGGTTCTTCTTCCATGAAGCAGCTCTGTTGTCCTCCATCCATATTTTCAGTTCCAGGCTGAGTCATTTCTACCTTCTCCTCTCTGTCAACGCTCTCTGGTTTCATTTAAAAGAGTCGATCGTCAGATATTGTCCAAGATTAACCTTCAGGGTGGATATAGCTCCCTAGCAGCCTCTCACCGAAGACCTACCCACGTCATCATTTACCCAGAATGCTTTGYGTGTAAATWWAATGGCTCCRTCCGTGTTAAAATATATTTTAAAAAATTTACAAAGCTAAACAGCCAAAAGTATTTTCACAGTTTTTATTTTACAGTTAAAATAAATGTTTATCAAATAAAGTTAAATGTTACAACTAATCGTGGATCCCTTTAATTGTTTTGCACAATAAACATATTTATAAATTAAAAGGGAAAAAGGAAGAGACTGGCCATCAAAACAACGGAAATACTGAGACTTCGTTTTATATATTATAGTCAATTTACTTCGTGTTTAACTCCCTTATGAGAGGGTATAACTTAAAAGTATTCTTCATTGGAGCAATACGTCTCAATATGATGCATTCAAATGATTCACGTAAAATAGAAAATTACAGTTTTGTGCTAAAATATGTCAACATGAACTAGAGAAAACATTTTCAGAATTTTACTTATGAGCAGGTGTCTGTTACGAGAAAAAAATATTTTTAAAGTGTTCTTAGTATGTTTAAAAAACTGCATAATATATGTATTTTTTATTTTAAATGAATGCTCAGCTAACATTAAATGATTAGCAGCTTGAAGCTGAATGAAGCTGTTGGCACCACTGCGCTACAGGACTTAAAACAACAACAACAAACGTAATATTACCTGAACTTTAACATTTGCTCCCAGCTCAGCTCCAGAAAGGGCTTCAGAGACTCTTAGTTTTATAGGAATATTTTTACAGTAATGCCGTAAACTAAACAAAACACCTCGATAAACTGAAAACACAGACAGCGTCTTAGCTGCAGCCTGAAACATCCTTTCGAAAACCGATTCTGTAGACACAAAATAAAAAACTATAGCCTTAAACCGTCACGAAGACACAAATGCACAGCAAAGAGCATTTCTGGTAAGTTAGAAAGATTTTGTGTTCAGATGACTTTCATTTCTCACGCTGGCACGGCTGAAACGAACACTTCCTGTTAAGTCTGTCGTCATTCGTCCAATGGAGTCACGTGGTGTCTAATAGTCCAATGAGATGTAAGCTTAGCATCACATGCCGCAGGGAGTTGTAGTTTTATTGAAAATTCTGAAATAATGCCAAACTGACTATTTTAATCAAACTTTCACAAGTATTGCCAGTGTTTCCCCTACCATTATACAGGCGGGGCGTAAGCATAAAAAATCTGTAATTTGCGCAAACAAAAAAAAAGTATTAATCACACAGGATGGGGTGGAGAGGAGGTGCACTGACCGCAGCTGCGCGGGGTGGGGAGGAGGAGGAGGGTCTCTTAAAGACGTGTCTACATTTAACTTTTATTTTTTCTAAAATCACAGAGTTCTCTGAGTCAGCTTCAGATGTTTGTAGTTAATCATAATACCTTCTAAATTTAACCAGGTGTTTCATTGCCTTTAAATTACACAATAATTTTACTGCAGAAACTTGTCAGTTTGGTTAAAAAAACAGTATTTTTTTCTGTGCAGAGAACTTCCTCTGCTATAATTTATTTTAAATAAATATATCAAAGCCCCTCAGTTGAAAACACTAAAATTATTAGAAAAGATGTTTAAAAACTTCTTTCCTCAGAAAGTCTTCAGTCCTAAGAACACTAAACTGTAACTTATTTAAATAAAAATGTTTGACCTGTAAGCAGAAAGCTGATGGATGTTGGGTGTTGGTTTTTTTTTTTATTATCTCTATTTCAAAGAAGAGGATGAGGAGGAGAACGAGGAAGTTCTCCTCAAGCAGCTCCTAAAACTGTCAACCTGCTGACTGAGAACATTTGTATACTTTGTATACAGAACAATATAGCCTACTTATTAAATTATATTTTTATTGAGATATTTTTTGGACAACCAAAATGTTTTGAGGACAACCAGATTTAGTCAAACCCCCACATGAGAGGTCACCACCACGGTTAAAACAAATCTTTGGGGAAACTCTGCTGAGTTAAAGTTCTTCTGGAGTTCTGATCATTATTAGAAAGGACATGATTTGAGGGTTTTACTGATAATATTTTATTTAAAACATGTTACAGAAGACATAAGAAGCAGGTTTTTTTTGAACAAACATTACAAACGTGTTCATTCCTACAAAACTGTCAAATATATTTACAAACAACACTAAACTGATTCAGATTAACATGAAATAAATCATGTTTTATAATTAAATGTCTGTTTCCTGCTATAAAGAAAAATCCTCCTCCTGCCTCCTTGTTCCTAATCAGGGTCAGGGTGGGGCTGGAACCTGTCCTCGCTGCCTTTGGGTGAAGGCAGGGGACACCTGGACAGGTCTCCAGTTCACCAGAGACACATGGACAGGTCTCCAGTTCACCAGAGACACCTGGACAGGTCTCCAGTTCACCAGAGACACCTGGACAGGTCTCCAGTCTCCATCAGGGACACAGAGAGACAGTCAATGTCACACCTGGAGTCACACAGAAGAGCTCCAGAAGGTTTCAAACTGAGAACTCTGGACTCAGATCATCTGCTGCACACAGTTCTGATCACTTATTATCAATAATCATTTTATTGATAATTATCATGAGGAGTCCTTAACTAGGATGTAGTTAGGCAATTAAATATTCATGTATGTGTAAATTTATTACCATAATTGCAGGTGAGTCACATCAATTTACGTTTTTATAAAACAAGTACCCTGCCCGCCAAGACCAATTTCCTAGGGGAAACACTGATTGCTTATTTTATTTATATAAAATATATCAAATGCAATATATAAATAGACACTTGGAAATAGATAACTGAAAACAACACAGCTGGAGAACAGGTAAATAAATAAATAACCATATTATTCCAACGCCTGACACATATCCATCCATCCATCTTCTATCTATAATCCACAGTCAGGTCATAGAGGTGTTTTGTAGGCTAATATGATTTTTATAAGTAGTGTCATTTTTTAATCACTCACATGGTTTTATTGTCCATCCTTTTGTTTATTCTTGTAACCTACTTTTGCCTAAATGTATAGCACCACAGCTTGAAATGTTCATCCATCCATTATTTTTATTCACTTTTTTCTTTCCGGTTTATAGGGCTCGCTGGTGCCCATCCCCAGCGAGCTGTGCAGGACACCCTGGGTAGGTCACCTAGGAACATAGTTACCAGTTAACCTAACATAGTGGTCTGTGGGAGGAAACCGAGAGAAAACCTCTGTGGGCATGGGGAGACCATGCAAACTTCACACTGAAAGTTATGATTCTGCAACCTTCTTTCTGAGACAAGAAGCACCGTACCACCCAGTGCTTGAAATATACAAAATATAGAGTTGAGAATTTTATGACATGCAATTTAAAAAAAAAACGTATAAAGCTAAAATGTTTTTGTTTGACTAAAAAATCCTATCGATGTCATACAAGTTCCAAATTATTTTATCTAAGCTGGTAAAAATGATTTCCCTGTCACTATCAGCAACAAAGAATTAAACATATTAAAGCTTGTCTTCAGGTGGACTGAAAGTTGTATATAAAAACATTGAGTCGTCTTACTTACAAAACATATAAAGTCTGTTTTAACATTTTTTAAAATTTATTCTAATTCCTGTTAAGACAAGTCATTGCCGCCTCTCCTTCATCTTGCATGATGTATCTGCTGTCAGTGTGAGGTTCATTTGTGCGTAAACCCTGTTAATTCAGTACCCTCCACGTCACGGGGTCTCTTCCCACAATTTGCTGCCGGACTAAATCAGACCATGGCAGCAATATAATAAGAAGCCCAGACAATTTTTCACCTGGTCCCGCCTGTCAGCTCTGCGGCTCCCCCCCGGCTCAGATCTGGCCAGCATACAGAGAACCAGGTCTCCTCACCTCCTGCCGCTAATGACATATTACCATTAAACCTACCAAGATGCATTTGAAACGTCAGCAAAATCATTTATATTAATTATCTCCAGCAGGAGTAGAGATGTAATGCACACAGTTGGATTTTAATAGGAAGCAGGACATTTACTGATTAATAGAGAGGGTGATGACCTTTTAGGAAGCTCATAATGGTCGATAATGACTACCTAAAATAAAATTACAACCTGGATTTATTGAAATCAAAACCAACTGCACATAATGAACTTCTTCAAGTGCTATCTCTTTGCTTGCCACAAGGCCGTGCTGTAGCTCTATGCCAGTTGCCGCTGCCTTCCCAGATCCCCACCTACTGCAGATTTATTCATTTACCCTCGAGTTGCCTTCAATATATTATTCATTTGCAGCTCCAAGGTCTCCTGAAATGAAAACAAGCTGGCATTGTTATGTTCTCTCTGCAGTTCCATTAAGCATAATGCAAAGGACCTGCTGGCTTTCACTGGCAGCAGACAGTCCAGCTCAACAGCCAGTTCAGACTCATCCAAAGCTGTTTTCTGTGAGGTAAGTAAATGGGGAGGCTGGGGTACCCACTGTGTTTTTATTTCAACATAATTTGTATAATTTACTTTTTTTTTTTGTTTTGTTTTGCCAGGCTTGGCATATGACGACTTGCATGTGGGAGAGATGCCTGGTGGCATGTCGCATCATTGCACAGACTCATAGCCTCCCACAGAAACCACAATGTATGCATGGAACAAGGTGAAAACACTCGACAGGATTGGACAAGTGAGGAAAATAAAAGCCTAAAGTGAATTGATATCTTGTTGACACTACTATTGGTAGTAAATCAAGAAGAGAGGCTGAATAGTACTCCCTAATGTAAGATTCCCTGTAGCTTGTTTTTGGATCTTCTGCTGGTAGAGGAGTTGTTTGGCAGTGGCCAGACAACCTTATTTGAGCTTAACAACTTGTTAAAATCAATACACGATTAGTCAGCAAAACAAAGGATTTAGCTGTAAAAGCTTGCATCTCAGGAGGATCACTAAACTTGGAGAGCGAGAGCGTCTTCTGCTCTCTGCAGGCCCGTTTGTCCAAAGACTGCAGAGTCCTAATGACAGCACCGCCTGCTACGAGGCTTCATCAGCTCCTCCAAATATTCTGCATTCACAAATGGAAAGCTGCATTGATTTTATGTAACATGGCTCGTTAAGTGCTGATTAGACCATTATAGTGGTGTGATATCAGGGAATGTGTTGGGGTGACAGGCGGCCAAACACAAATCAAAAGGAACTAATCACACTTTCTAAAAGAGATTTGGGCTGCTACACTGCTACGCCCACGACTGCTCAGTTACTACCACGGGGATGTGGTTGTGTTGATTTCATGCTGAGTGGATCAGTTTCAGAAGCTTAAAAGTGATACAAATTAAAGGCCTAGTGTTTTTTTGAAGTAATGCATATTTCCCACCAGGGATTTAAAGGAAGATCATGATGTTCCAAAAAGAAAGCGTCATTTGGTCCCACCTTAAAGGGGACATATCATTCAAAATGCACTTTTTAAACCAATAAATACATTTTGTTGTGTACTTGGAGTCTCTAGCAGTGCAGAAAATTTGAATTTAGTCTCTCCCGATGCTTGCGGAAATAGCTTTCATTTCCTTTGAGTCAAATTTTCAACCCATTCAGTTTTCCCCTTTTTCATTGTTGTTTTTTTAGGATAGATAGATAGATAGATAGATAGATAGATAGATAGATAGATAGATAGATAGATAGATAGATAGATGATAGATAGATGATAGAT